GCTCGACTTAAATTCTTTGTGCCTGTTCTCTCTGGAGACCTGTAGCTCACAGACGCTGCCGGCTTTAGTGGTAAGGTTAAGTAAGTTTAAGACAATAAATAATATAGGGCACTCTTTTTTTCCTCTTAGGTCTGGGCATTCAAGTAGGAGAAGCAGACTGCCCTGTCAGCTCTCATACTGCAGGGCTGAGGCCAAGGCACCTCCAAATGCTTAGACACGGCAACTATGGAAAATCATCACTGAGCTGGAAATTAGTAAAATAAACAGGCATATATGAAAGGCATGTGGGTTTGCGGAGGGAAGGAACAGAGCTGGGCGTTGAGCCTCTGGGTTTCTGTTCTTGGCTCTGCCTACGGTTTTCTACACGACCCTGAGAAAATCATGTCATGTTTCTCTGCTTCATTTTCCTCACCTCTAACCACCTGCCCGAGAGCCTGGGGAAGCAGACTTTATTGGCAAGTGCAAAGTCTTTGGAGATCTTTGCCGGGGAAGTGCTAGTAAAAACACTGGATCTGAGACAAGGTTTTGGGCATAGAGCAAGAAGGGTGTTTTGTGCCTGAAAGCCCACGAGCCCTCCTAATGATCCAGTTAGTCCAGGAAATGTGTGAAAGATGAGGAATTGGGACTATATAGCATAAGGCATGGTCCAGGTGCTAGAATCAGATGGGCATATGCCATGTACTAAATTCCCTGCCTTAGTAGGTGCCAAGGTATTGGTGGCATCCTCAGTCTCTCCTGCTTTCTTCCTATGGCTGGTTGTACTCTTAGGGGCCTCCAGGTTTCTTGTACTAAAGATCTACATCCAGGCATATGCCCGCAGGGGCTGGTTTGTGGTTTGTACTTCAGGGCAGCTGGGGTGGATGTGCTTCAAGAACTTAACCCCTCTGACAAGGCTGCCGGGAATTGGGGGGTGAACTCCAAGACCCAGGTGTTCCCTTTCAGTCTTAGTTTGCTACGTGGCCTCCGAAGTTGATGGTTATGGCTTTTGCGGCAGTACCTGAGCAGAACCTGGCTGCAGACACCTCCGGGATATGTTTAACCAGCTGATGTGAGCATACATCCCTTCCCATGCTCCCCTCTGTGTCTTTTCCCCAGCTTCCTCCCCTCCACTGGACGGGTCCTCATCTTGCCCCAAAGCCTTGGTCTCTCTGCCTCTTACCACCACCCCCTTTAGGCATCCTGGGCTCCTTGAGTCCATCTACAATATAATTGCTCCTACTGCAACTTCACTGTAGTCCTTCCTGCTTAGTCTTATCCGGGTGAGCGATCAGAGGGGCCTGGCCCTAGAAATTTGGGGGATGTGAACTCAAGTGCAAGTGACTCACAGAAAAGAAACAAACTGTGCCTCCTGGAAGAGCTGTGAACTGCTCCTTTCTTCCATCCCACGTTTGGCAGGATGAGAAGCCTGTTTCTTAAGCCAAGGTTTTTAGTGCTAATCTTCCTTGCCACAGACTCTTTTTCTCCCTGCTTGCAAGCATATCTGGACTATCTGGAAGCTGCTGTCTCTAAATCTGGATAGCTAGTGTCCTATATTAAGATCTATTATTTTCTCGCCTACTTCTTGCTGAGAGGAGCTAACACAAACACTTGGGTGCATGGCAAAATAAACTCTGGCGACACAGAAGAGATGGATGTGAGCCACCGCTTTAGCTGCTCTTTCTCGATGTCTGAGTGTGTCTGTTTCTTGAAATGCTTAGCACATGCTAGAGAGCCCTTTTGAGATCCTTGCAGAAAGCCTCTGCATTCATTTTGTGAGTTGGTAGACTCTGGAGCTTCATAATAGGTTTAGTTGTTGTTGCTTGTCTTCCAGTAATACCCAGGAGCACCAGTTATGGGTAAGGACCTTGATGTGGTGGGCACTCTACAAGCACAGATGTTTGCCCCAAACATTTTTCAGTCCACGTATGGATGGTAGGTGGAAAAAGACACAGGACCAATAAAGGGAAAATGGGAGCATATCATCATCAGAACCATTTTATCGTTTCTGTAGGTATCACAGCAAAGGGGTGGTATAAGGGATGTGAGAGCTGTACCCCTCTTGGCTGACAGAGAACGAGAGCTGTTACTGGGTGATGGTGGCTAATGGCGAGACCTGGTGATGGCAACCCAATTATTGGTGGGTCTGAGTCCAGCTCTTAATGAAGAGAAGGCATCATCATCATCATCATCATCATCACTGAGGATGCCACAGGCCAGACTCTGCCCTACGCTATGGCATCTGCACTGGGACAATGGGGTAAAGGCCTAGATTCCAGCTATAGGTCATGAATGGAATATACCCACAATGAGGGCAAACTTCCCTGCTGGTATAAAGCCAATACAGCTGGTTCCTGTGCCTGCTGGGAAAGGGAAGAGAAGTGGGGATATGAGAAAGGGCTGATCTGTTACCCCCATCCTCCACTGGCATCAAATCTCTTCGGGGATCTTAGGTAAATAGTGTCCTGGGGCTGCTCCGACTCACAACGGGATGTGGCCGGTGCAGAATCACGGAGCCATACCAGATCCAACAGAAATCTCTCCCCTCTTCACCACACAGCGGTCAGATGCAGGGAACACCCACACTGCTATGTGTGGTCCACATTATGAAGTAGTCCTAAGTCAAGAAGTAGTCCTTGTTGCAATGAGGATGCAAAGCCTGAGAAGAATACTTGCATGGCCAGTACACGCAGCGTGCCTGCCCTGGGATATCCACCTGCCATGTTTATTCTGCTTCCATGATGGTCAATTGACTTGAATTTCATTTTCAAACATAAAATGAACCAAAACCAAACCAAAACTGCTCTGAATAGGGAATGACACGTTTAACCAGAAACAAATTCTTTTTGATATATGTATCTATAGCTATATAGATATATCTCTCTATATAAAAAATAATTTGTTTCTGGTTAAATATGTCATAAGTCACATCTATATAGAGAGATCTATCTATCTATCTATCTATCTTATTTTTAAAGGGGGAGGGGGAGTTTGGCCAACACACCAAAAAGCCCAATTATTTGGACAAGCTTTATTGCTAGTAATTTTAGTCCCTGTGAATTAGCAGATCAGTTCCTAGCATCCACACACCTTTATACATTATTGCGGTAGGAACAAGGCACGAGGCACATTCTTCTAAATGCAGGGTAAGACCCTCTCTTTGTGTCAAAAAAATAATATTCCAGGGGCTGAGAAAAGGCCCTGGGGTTTAGCTGTTGAATTTCAGCTGAACTGTTTGACCTGGAAAACTAAAACTCAATCTTGAAGGAATTGAAAACCTGTATCTATCAAGAGTGCTACCAGGTTTTCCTGGACCATGAATCTGACCCACGTTCATGCTGTTTTAAAAAAAAAAAAAAATCACTCTGAATTAATAGGAATGATTTCTGTTCATTAGATGATGCATTCCCATCCCCCTCAAATTTGTATGCAAAGTTCAATTTAAACTGGAATTATTATTTGCTAGGAGCTGACAATGCACTAGCCAATGCATAAAACATGCTTACTCATTATTTGTCTCGCCCGAGTATCAAGAGGCTTCAACTGATATTAGGGCCTCATTGTGCTAGGTGCTGCATATACCCTAAAGCACTTTTAATATTAATAGACAGGGCAGAAACAAAGGGTCACAGAGGAACCAGAGACAGAGAGACAGGAGGTGACTTGCCCAGTCACACAGCAATTTAATAGTAAAGCAGGTTGTCACTGGATGGGATGGACCTTTAAACAATTTGGCAGCTGAGGGTCTGTGCCTATGGCTGCCATACAAGTAGATGGGCCAAAGGCTGGGGATCATGTGCTACCTGGAGGCCCCAAGTTCCTTAGAAAAAAGGCCTACAAGCAGGATATTTTAAGAGACCTGCAGAGAGCAGGAAGACTTCAGCAAGGACCACTGGAGGGGGAGAAAAGGCTCTATTTTAGTGGTTATAATTAAGCTGAACTGTTTCAGTAGCAGAAAAAGAGGTGCCACTGTTGAGAGAGGTCTAGCTGCTGCTTCCACCAGTGTGTTGGCCGATGGTCTTAGGGAATAAAACCAGCCTCCAGACTCCCACAGAAATGCTTTACCCTGCTCATCATGTTCCACGTACCCAAACAGCTTTGCTGAATTCAGCAAACGATAAAGCTACGTGGTAGGGCTGCTCCTCTGTGTCAAGCTGTTCACATAGTTACAAGAAGAGGGATGAGGACACTTCTTGTCCTAATGATCTGAATTCAAGCAAGGCTTTTTCTTCCCACTGCGGTCACCCTTGTATAGTCTAAATGGAAAACACTAAGGTGCCTTTCTACAGGCAGGCCACTCCAGTGCCCTGGAAGGAATGATCTAGTTGTGGCATGGGGCAAGAAGAAAACTGTATTTGGTTTGTAAAGGGGAAACCTGGCTGTTCCTTAATGTAACCTTAAGCAAATTGCTAATGAACGGCAGCACTTTAAATGCTTGTTCATATTAATAATGTCTGCCTAGCTCACATCTGGCCTTTCCAGTTACATAGGCTGGAAGACACTGTGCAAGTCATGTCCCCTAGCACCTGTACCATTTTTGTTGCCCTCCACTGGACTCTGTCCAATTTGTCCACATCCTTTCTGTAGTAGGGGACCCAAAATGGGACGCAGGACTCCAGATGTGGCCTCACCAGTGCCATATAGAGGGGAATAATCTCTTCTTTGACTGGTTTAATTGTTTATGACGCAGTTTAATTGTGGGCATGTACTCCTACTATTTAGAGTTTCCAGAAAGCATTGCAGAGGCATTTCCCTATGGAAAGAGGTTACAAGGAGGGAACAAACACTTACCAGTGCCTGGGACCTCATGGGAGACTCTTGATAAAACAGTGAAAGTTGGCAATATTTAAGTGGGCCTTTCTGGCCTATGGAGAAGGGGGCATTTCAGTGTATCATTGATTTCTCAGACAAGTCCTTAGACCAACATGGCTACAACCTAAACCCCTGCATCATTGATTTCTCTGCACTTATTTATAAAACCATCCCTCGCAATTTTAAAACAAAAATCAAATAGTGTTCAGAAATAGCTTCACATTTTTATTGCACTCTGAAGAATAACTCAAGACACATATAGAGTGGATTTGTTTTTTTCTTTTTTGGAAACATCTGTTTTCTTGACTCAATTATTTTTATTCAGTGAAAAAAGTTTGACATTGAAAGACAAAAAAAGAATCCTTGAACCTTGTGCAATAATGAAATAAAATCTGTAGCACAAATCAGTGACGGAAAAAAACACAGAAAGCAATTCAAATGATAGATGTCCAACTTTCACTTTGTTAAGGAATCCAGCAACAGTTGAAGATAATCCTAACAAAATTGTTTAAGACTGGCTGCCTCGAAGTTGCTGAAAGTCTGGAATGAACACAAGTTATATAATCCTTGAAGCTGGTCCTATAAATGAAGAAGTGTCTGGATCCAAGGGTAACTGCACCGTTTTCATTCCGAAGTCCATTTGAAAGAGATTTGACATTTGTAGAGGACAATATAATTTTGGCTCTGCTCGATTATGGTTGTCTGTGCTGGCAAACCAATTCATTATTTTGTTAAATGCTTTGAGGGTCATGTAAAGAGATGGCAATGATTGTGTCTGCACTCGTGGGAGGGCAGAGAAGGAGGAAGAAGGAAAAGAAAAAGATGTATTATTAACTCAGGTTGCAACAGCAGTTCAAGTTTCCATAGCTTCTGACCATGGTTTTAGGCCTTTGAATAAGTTTAGAAACAGCTTCAATAATTAGTGCTCTCTTGTTCACAGGTTTTAATGATTTGGACACCTGTCCGGTAAGAAATGAACCCACCAACTCATTTACTACAAGCCTCCTACCAACCATCAGGTCCAAATATTCTGCTAATTCTGATGCGGGAATGGCTTCTGACCATCAGCCTGGAAATGACCCGTCTGAGACCCAATCGTCTAATCTGCCATAGAGGCAAGAAGAGCAAATATGACTTGACTTGGTGTCTGGACTTCTAGTCCCGGAAATGGTGCCTCCACACTGATTTTACCGGGTGGAGCTGAAATGTGGCGGGCAACATCTTTCAAATGTCGTCACTTCTCTTTAGTTCAAATGGACTTAAGAGTGCCAGTCTCCTTCTAACATCTTCCGCGAAAAACAAAATTGATTTGAACATTTGACTGATATTAAAGAACTGGAAAATTCACCAAAATCAGATTACAACCCAGCGCCCTCCGAACTAAGTTAACCAGTCACTTTGTTTTGTCACTGCGAGGGAAATCCCACCCTCTTCATTAAGTCAGGGTACTGTTTCCTGTCGCGTTTCTTAAACCAAGAGCAAGAATCTGCATCCGTAGCTGCTTCCCGAATTTACAACAAAAACCCCCTCCACACATCTCTGTTAACAAGATTCTGTGCTTCGAAAGTTCATAAAAATATACAATTTGCCTATAACTGCATCTATCCAGCCCACGCCTCCCCCCCCCACACCCCTTCCCTGGAGCTTAGTTTTCTATGTATAAAAAATACACTAGCCCTGTAAAGCTGCTTGGCCATTTTTGCAGTAAGGGAAAATGTTTAAGGGTTGAGGATGTCTATCCACCGCAGTACTTATTCACACAGGGTGGAATTCGGTCCTGCAGACTTAGCACAAGGGCCATGCATTGCTTCAATGCCACTGAAATCCTTCATTTCACATTAGCAACGCACGGACATTGTGCAGACCCGGTTTCGCATGCATTATATAACTGAGGCACTGTTATCCAGCACGTTTAATTTCCAACAGCATATTTTAAACTGGACACGGCCTACGTTGGGTACATATGCTGCTGAGTAATGAGTGCAGTGAAATTTTTCTGAATGACCAGCAATTATCAGTTGCCCAACTGGACTGGGTCTTTCTTGTCAAAAGCTTGAAAACGTACTGAGGAATCTTGGTTGGATATTTCAAATGGCCATGAGGTTAGTTAATGGAGCTCATCCTTAGGGTATTTCATTACGGGTGAAAAATGGGGGTGAAATCCTGCTCGTCTTACTCGGATACATTTTGTGAAGTGGGAGTACAAATAAAGCAAGTAGGATCTGACCAGGCTGAATGTGCAATAGAAACTCATACCCTTTGAGAGACTGCCTTTTTTAAGGCAGTGTTAACTGGGGAGATGCAACTGTTTAAAAAGAAACAGTAGCTGGACTCTTGGGATGAATATTTTCTCTCTCGTGTTCTTTCTTTTTCCTAGAAACTCATTTGAATCTTTTGATGAATCTAGGAATTTGTGATGCTAGACTAAATTCTAATCTGGGATATTCTAATGTAAATCCTGAATGATTCAATATGATAGCATGCTGTGCTGGTGTTACTCACAATGTACTTCAGAACAACATCTGGTGCTCTAGCCAAGTAAACAAGGAAGCCGCAACTTCCCAAGCTTAAATAAAGCATCAGTAGTCGAATCCAAATTAGTTTTGGCCACCGACAGAAAAACATTAAATCAATTTATCATTGGCTAAGGACAGTGATAATGATTAGTTAAAATATATATTTTGTATTTCTCTAGCACATGGAAGCATACAGAACTTGTACTATTTATATATTTCCTGTATTTGAAATTAAAGAGATCCATTGCCTATCAAAATATGGTTGGCCCTTTCTGCTCTCACTCCATCTGTCGGAAGACTGCAATTATATTTTAAATTACACAACAAAGATACTTTTGATTTAATCAAACAAAATACATCATGACAAGACAATGCATTGAATTGTACTGCGTACAGTGGCTAGGTTTTGCATATACAGAATATGTATCAACGTGACCCATGAACATTCACTTGGGGTGGCAAGTAGTTTGACGTGGTGGGGAGATTCACGCTCTACTATCACAAGAAGGCTAGGCAATGATACCATACATTTCCAGAGGCTAAATTTGAGCTTTGTAACTGGTAGTATGCCTACAGTAACTGCAAGATGGTGAGTACTGTGTGTGTGTGTGTGTGTACACACACAAAATATATATGTGTGTACACACACAAAATATATATGTGTGTGTGTGTGTGTTACTTCGTAATTGAAGTTAGAGCCACAGCTACTTTCAGATAATAGGAAGGAATAAAGAATCCTATTGCAAATGCAAATAATTTTGGATTTTCAGATGCATAAGGCTTTTTAAGATTGCGGAACACCTACGTCTCAGCACTTACTCTGCATTTACCCTGAGGTTTTTCCTGGGTCACACATCAATACATTAGTATCTTGGAGGGTATATGTTTTGTCTCACTGAGTTTGTGTTTTAAAAATATTACTGGCCATTTTTTTTCCAGTGATGTTATTGACAGGCATTAGAAAACTATTTAATGAGAAAATCAGGCAAAACAATAGAGGGTACAATTAACAACTTCACTATTGCGCGTAACCCTAAAGCATTTAGGACAATGCTGGTGATTTACAGAACATTGCAGACTGTAGTAACATCGAGTGTGGAGGTAAGGGACAAACACTGAAAACCTGGGTGCTTGCATATGCATACCTAAATCCCTATTTCGTGCCAGATCTCTAAACTCATCATACAAGTAACTTTACTCATGTGAGTAGCACAGTGGCTGACAATATACTACTAGTGTGTGTGTGTGTGTATGTGTGTGTGAAATCACTCACATGCATAAGCATTGGCACAATGTGGCCCTGAATCTCTTAAATAAGACCTTGACTCAGGTGCATCATTAGGTATGTGTTTATAGTTAGGCACATATTGAGTCTGGGTTAAAAAGTGGCCTGACTTTTCAAAGTCAGCAGGAGCTGTGGGGTCCTGAGCATCTCTGAAAATCAGGTACATTTGCTTCATAGATCTGCATTCCCCAGTTCAGGAAAGCACTGAAGCACTGGCTTACGTCCTGCTAAAGTAATTAGGATTTAAATCCATGCTTAAAGTTAATTTCATACTTAAGAGCTATCCTGAAAAGGGGCCCACATTTCAAAATAATGACCCCAAATTGTTTGTTGAATCATGGAAAAATATTAAAAAGCAAAATAACATTTGTTTTATTTGCTTTATGGCAACAACAATGAATCTGGTGATGAAAAACTACTGCCTTGCAAGATAAAGTGGCACATGTTCTACACAATAATGTGTACAATGTCTGACGACTCTGAAAATCTGATCTAACGCAGATTTCCCAATAAATTAACAAAACAAAATACTTCCATATAAAACAAAGTCCAAACGATTTTCAAAGTAAAAGTAAAACCTTCAGGGACTATATTACTTATCTCTCTCTCTCTCTCTCTATATAATCTCCTGAATTTTTTTTAAATAAATTTATTATTGTCTTAGAAAAATAAAAAGAGTAGCCAATTTCATCAACAGAAAATATCTCACAGACTTGAAAGCATGCCCAGCAAGCATAGCCTTGTAAGACTAAATTAATGTTAAATCAAAGCAATTTGTTACTAAATCAACCTGGTTTTTGCAGTTCACAGTTGATTACTACAAAGTGTTTTTTTTTCTTTTTCTTTTTTTGGCCCATATAAAAATAACGTATTGCAACTCAAAGTGCATTTGTAAAATAAACAATTGACTATTTTTATCAAATGAAATATTTACACCATTTGGTTTACAGTCAAGAAATGAGCTTCACGCAATGACCATGGGGACGTCGTCTGAAAATCCAGTTATCATCGGTGCTTCGTCGTCCTCGTCACCTAGAAAGCAAACACAATGCTCTGTCATATGGCTCGCTCTAGTGCTTCTACAGAGCTTATGTCTGGAAGGAAATGTTAGATCCTCCAGGCTGTGGGCAAAAATACTTTTTCACCCCTTTAAGAGGGTAAGGGCAGCTGTCACTTGGGAGCGTGCATCGGCTGTAACAATCTGTCTCTGCAGGTTCTCGCAGTGATACAAGTTAGTTAAATCGCTGCAACTCTAACCCTCAATGACACTGGGCGCATTTACATGCAATGCTAAATGTGCAGTAGACTAATTCTACTGTGCATTACCACATCACAGCGTATACCACGCTATTGCGCTAACGCGCGCTAGAAATAGTCTACTGCGCATTAGAGTCACTTAAAAGGTGTGTGCCAGTGCACTGCACAGTAGTGCCTGTTACTGCGCATTTAGTTAGAATCTGTTATTACAGGTACTGAACTTAATGCGCAGTAACCACAGCACATTAATGCACATGTAGATGTGCCCACTGGCTCAAAGTTGCAACAGTTTTGCTACACTAAAGGAGCGTACAGACATAATAATTATACTGTTTATAACCCCATTATCTGAAATTGATACTATTGTCTTCATCCCTAGTTTGACCTCCTGCATACAGGGAAAATGTAGTGGAAAACGCAGGCATTATTACTGTCATACTCGGCATTCAAACAGATTCCCTCTCCCCTAACTACCTGATACGGTAGTTTGCTTCAGTCTATGCAAGAAGAAATCACTAGGGTAACAATATTGACAAAAAGCATTTTTTGAGGGTCAGCAACACTGGAAACCAAGTCAACAGACTTAAATCAAACAAGGTAAGTCCACAGCAGCTTTCAACTTAAAGGATCCCCCAAACTCAATACAGAAAAGTATGTTCCTGTTCCAGCTGCTCTTTATGGTAATTCAAGTTATTACAGAAGTTGGAAATGACCCCATATACCCAGAATATAATAACAAATTTGTCTTGCAAATACAGAAATGGCTGAGGTAGCTATGGAACAGGAATGGAAAAAGAGCAATTTTGGGTGAGGATGGTAAAATAAGCCTGAATCCTTACAGCAAATCCTCCAAGGGTTAATAATGGCAAAGGATTAAAACCCAACACAGTGGTTGTATGTACACATGCGCTTAACTGTAGAGTAGACTAATTAGCTGCAGAGTAAAGTGTCATCGTCTATACGCGTGACGCTGTTAAGCTCCAGTAAACTAACTGATGCCTCCGGAAGGCAGTACTCTCCCTGACAGTACTATCTTACGGTGGGGTAATTAACTGCAATTAAATGCACTTGTAGGGACTGACCATAAGCATAAATTGGCTACAATCATCCCAGCCAACAGTGAGCCAGACTCCTGCCTGCCACCTAGCCATGCAGCTCTGCACTCTCAGCACCCTCGTCCCCGGACAGCCCCTCCGCTGCCTGATGCCGCCACCTGGAGCCCTGGACGGACCCCCCCTGTGCCCTCAACCCTGGTGTAAACTGCTCTGCTCCAGCTCAAACTGCTGCTGTCCCAGGTGCACATGTAGACAATGCACCCAGGTGTAGTTTACTCTGGCTCAAACTAACCCAGACTTTATTGCTTCAAATTAATTGCACATGTAGATGCACCCAGTAAGATGCATGGAGTTCTCACTTTGCCTGACCCAGACAGATGAAGGGGCTGATTTTTTTAGGACTGGAACCCAAGTTTCCCTGCATCCAGAGGTAGATAAGAAGACATGGATAAGTACTGGTGCAGTGTACAGTTCTCTTGTTTGCTGCTGTGGATGGGATGGCATGGGCTAGAGCATGGCCAAGGCGGCAGAGTCAGTGGGGTTTGCTCACATATTGTTTACTTGCAGATACATGCTCTGAGAACAGAGCCAAAGGTAGCTGGGAAATGAGCCTCAAATCACATTGCTGTGGCCAAAGGAAATTGTGCGTTATTTGGAGGAAAGCCTGCTCGTTACAACTGAAAAGTCATCAGGAACTGAAGTAATTCCTACCACTTGCAAACACAGGTCCCATTACATACAATGAGCGTCAATGGTTTCAGGTCCTCAAAGCTACAGTGACATACAGGCATAGGGAACCAATTGCTTTACATACCTAAATCATCACCTGATGAGAATATAGCTGAGCCGAGACGAGAGCTGTAGTGGCTATTCGCAAAGGCAGTGAAACTGTTCTGAAGCCTTCTGTGTCTCATGTATAATACAACAAACCCTATTCCCACGGTCACAAGCAACAGGAATAAGATTGGGACCACAACGGCAGCTACGTCCGTGGATTTTCCCATTTGGGATGCTGCGTGATCTTCACCTATAAGGAGAGGAAAAAACTGCCAACTATAACAGCTGTTTTATAGTGTTCACTACCTATAGTGAACATAATCCTACCTATTCATAGTCCTAAAGAGCCACTGGTGGAATAAATAAATATGAATATGCAAAATCACCACTTCATTCAAGTCTTGGCTATTATGTGATGATTTCCTTTAGATGACTACTGGTAGGATGCAAACACTGATTTCATTAGCGATATTATATTTGGTTGAATTCCTCCCCCACCTGAGCTTCCAGGAAACAAATTAGCTTGTGCTCCATTGCTAAAAGATAGTTTTTTGCTGCTTGGCTTAAAGAAGAGGAGGGAAAAAAAGCAAGCTAGTGCCTTACCAGTTTCTAGTTCATCATAAAGAAGTGTAGCAGGCTCCCCGCACATCTGTCCACTGTAAAGACATCTGGCCTGAACTGTGAATGAATAGTTATGGCCAAGCTTCAGGTTGGAAATTTTGAAGAAGTTCTCTGTGGTGTTCCCAAGATAAGCTGTGATATTCATTGCGCTGTCAAACATGTGAATCTCATAACCCTGAGATTTAAAAAAAACAAGTCACGCAAATTATTCTGTTCCTCCACTGAGATAAAACTGCAGGTCAAGGTTTGCTACTTCTGACAGACTCTTAAACTTGCTAATGAATTTAATTCGGCAGAACGGTGTTGGGTTTTGACAAGCTTGCTTCAGACAACCCTGACCTGTAAAGACAGTCAGGAGTTGAAGGGAGACTCCCGTCTCCAGGAACCACTCAGACCTCAGCATCACAAGAGACTGTCAAAAACAGTCTGATTATGAGATTGGTTTTGTGACGCAGACCCACCAACAATGCAATGGAGAACATGAATTCATTCCTCTGTACTAAACCCCCTGATACACTTAACTACCTCAAGAGGCTGATGTTTTCCCAAAGGAAAGACATCCTTCTCACAACTGCAGGGAGCCTATACACGTGCAGGGAGGCTGCTCCGATGCGCTGTAATTACAGTGCACCGGAGCAGACTTGATTAATTGAGTCTGCTGGAGCGTAGTAATTACTGCACTCCAGCAGATTTCAGCATCACATGTATCAGTGTCCCCACGCTGAAAAATGGTGGTAGGGGTGCCTTTAACTAAAGCTCATTTGACGAACTTTAGTTAAAGTGTCCTCGCTGCTATTTTGCAGTGGAGGGATGCTGGTACACGTGATGCTCTGGATGCTTTAATTAAAGATGCACTCAAAGCCACTCTAATTAATGCACCTCCCCACCACTTCCTGGAGAATGTGTATAAATGTCTCTAGTGACCAAACCTTGCAGCAATTTAGTAAAGATAATGGCCTGCAAAAGGAAGAGCATGTACATCATGGCACGGAGGGCAAGAACACCTTAAAGTACTGCTGAAGAGAAGTTTCCTAGGAAAAGGCAAAAATTCCTGCAGAAATACCTGCTGGACAGGAGGCAAGGATCACAAAGGGACAGAAACAGTCTCCAATAAGCAATCTAGGGTTCATAAGAAAGACCCTAAGGATGACTCTTGCTTGAGCTTGCTAGGGTGGGAATCAGCATGGTGAGCTGAGTCTTCCCTCTCTCCTTAATACTGAAGGGATTAACTTGAGTTTCTAGTGGTTCCAGCTAGTCTCTCTATCTCTTAGAAACAAAGGAGCAACACCAGGCTGGGAAACAGTCCCCAACGACAGCTTTGTTGTATTCTTACTGTGGAGTACAGCATACTGAGAAACACGGGAGATGTCCCACACGTGTATATACATGCACACTGGGACACACCTGTCAGTGTGCTGTGTTCTCAAGTCATCTTTATCAAACCAAAAGACAAACAAGCTTTGTGCGTGACTTACCCGGCTTTCGTTAAAATTACTTTCTTTTAAGGCTAAACTCTTCCAAAAAAGCAGAATGTGGTCATTCTCGGTTATAATTTTTAGGGCATCTGGTGCAGACAGAGGAACTGTAAATGAGAGGGAAATGGCAGACGCATTCATTTTTAAGTGATGATAAGTTCCTTCCATTTAGAAACTGCAATAAACAAATCTCTAAAGAACCGCAGGTGTCAGTGTTTTTATATTGTGTCAGCACAGTGCTCTGCTTAAGCAGAAATGATGCTCAAGAGCTGATCTGGACCCACTGAAATCATTCTGAACATTGCAACTAGGGCTAACAAAAGCAGGCAGCGTTTAGTCTGTTGCCTTCCTGCAATAAAGTTTTTGCTCTCTTGATTCAAGCAAGAGAGAAAATTCCCCACCTGTTATAATGACCCCCTTCCCCTATGCTGAAAGCCTTTTGGTTTTCAGTAGTATTTGCACAAATGCCAGCATCTCTCGGGATCTGGCCTCAGGTGAGGAAAATGGACTGGGTGACAAAGGAACTCGAAAAGTTTACATCAAACCAAACCATTGAGGCATCTACTCCAGGAGCCTGCCTCCAACCCTGCAAAAGTGTTAGATCAGCGATTCTCAGGCAGGGTCCCATGACACACTGGGATGCCTCAAGATCCTTTCAAAGGAGCTGCAGGGTATCACACAATGTTAGCACTGCTAGGTGTGCCAGCATAATTCAAATGATAAACCCAGAGATTTCAGAGGAACCCACAGAGTTACCAATGTTCTGACTTACGGTCAAGGCCGCATCCCCACAAGCACGCAGGTGTGGTTTGTGGAGCTGCAAACCCATCTGTGGCACCACAAACCTCACATGCAAGCATTCGTTGCACTGCTAATCAGCAGCACAGTGGGTTTTTTGACACCAGGAGATTCCAGTAAAAAAAAAAAACATGGCAGAAAAAAGCAGGGTGGTGCACGTGGCTGCAGCATGCGCCACCCAAAGCCGGAGCCATGCTCCAGTTGCCGGCCAGGCTCCACACATGTGGATCGCTGCCCCTGCAGCTCCAGGAAGCCCCCAGGACTCCAGATCAGGCTGCTGGGGCCAGCCCTGGTGCTGGTCCCAGCCTCCCCTACCCCACCCAGGGGAATTTGCTGTGAGCCAGAGTGTGCATACAGAGGTGTTGCCTGGGGACAAGTAGCAGTGCACGAACAAGTGCGGTTGCTATTTGTGCCCAGGGAAATGCACGATCCCACTTGTGGGGATGTGTCCTCTGAGTCCTTTGTAACAGAACTGCTCTCTCATTTTTCTGCAGTCAAAAAACAAGTGAAAACTACAAGCTGGCATTTTATAACAGGTGCCTTGAATCTTTTTTTTTTTTTTCAAAGTTGAGAACCAGTAGATTGTGTGTGTGTCCGTGAAAGGTGTAAGATACCCTCTAGTGGGCAGTCATGCAAGGACTTGCTAGGATATTTAAATGTTAATGCTCTTTCCTTACCTGTGTTAATTTTCATGCTGGATTCTTTGCTCATGTTTCCGAGTTGAATGATTATGTGATATTTTCCTCCAGGTTCCAGCTTTTTAATGGTGTATTCCACTGTGCTGTTACGGGTTTTCACTTTGTAGATTTTATCCATTTTTCTTACTAAATCCTTTACTGCAACAGCATATAACTGCAGAAGGGAAGGAAAATTGCATACAAAGTGAATGGTGAAAGTTTCCCCTTCATATGCAGATGCCAGGTTGTACATCATAATTGTGGCAAAATGCAAATTTAATAAAGTCTACTGTGGGCTTGGATCAATGCCCCAACACACTATTTACTGAGGCAGCCAATGTGGTATCTGGAGGATAAGAGAGAACAAAGAAAATTTGTCTGCACTGTGTTGGATAATTCAACATATAATCTCGTTTTCTGCCAGGTATTTATTTAACTGAAAATCCCAGATGTTCAAGATGGTCTTGAAACTTTTGTATTAAAAGTGCAGGGTTTTCTTTTGAGCTGAACTTACATAGTGCAACTGCACTGAATTTGGTGGACTTAATTCTGATTTTACACCATTGCAAGTGAGATCAAAATCAGGCCCACTCTGATGTTCAGTGCTCTCCAATAGCTAGTGTGAGCTAATAAACTTGTATTTTGTAGAGCATATTTTGCCACTGAAGGCACTTCGTGGTTTGAATAACCAGTTGTTCATGAGCATGAGCCACGTGCATGAAGCTAATACCATGTCCTGGTCAGGTGAATCGTAGGGCGACTCCCATTTAATGACTGCAAATGTCTTTCCAGTGAGCACAGAATGGAGATGCCGAGGAGGAAGCCTGTTGTCGGGTATCATCTTCACCACAATGTAGTCAGAAGGTGGCCCTTGATAAGGCGATATCACACGGACCTTAAAATGAAGACAGGCCAATTAAAGCCATTTTTTCTGATTTCTGTGACCTGTTAATGCTAGCTGTACAGGAGGAAGAGAAAATATATGTAAAGACCTTACCAGAAACAGGTACTGCTCATCCCTGTTCACAATCATGGTGATGTTATATGCAGTAGTGGTAGTGTTGTGAGGGTTTCTGTATAGCTCTAGGAAAGATGTAGCATAGAAAACACCATATACCTGTGGAAGAGGAGAACAACCATATGACATCTTACCTACCATATGACCCACACATTATGATTAAATCTTGGGTCATACATTATTGTCAAGGACAGAAGAGCTGAAAACTGCCCGGTCCCTTAGGACCCCTCAGCTAAGTCTGTCATGACCCTGTGTCACAGAATGGGATTTTCTTTGTGGTGTATGGGCCTAGAGGGGAAATAAACCTAGCAACAAGCGGCTATGTGGTTTCATGTACATCCTTCTTCTTTCATAGAGCCCATAATGCCAATCCCTGCAAAAACTTTCAAGGTCACTCTTATTTTCCTAGCACTTGATGGAAATGCAATGGCAGTCAAAAACTTTGTCCTAATATTTTCTGGCCTGAGGTTCCAGGGGTATATCTGACACGAGTCATGGGAGAGAGGAACGAACGGGGCCTCACCACGTGCTTTGGTCCTGTCCAGTTACATTCCACCGCCGTCTGGTTGATGGCTTTGGCTTTGAGGCTTGGAGGTGCGGGTCTCGTACCACTGGTCACAACATGTGCAAAAGACAAAGGACTGTCACCCAGTTCGGTCTTGGCCCAAGCAGAAATTTCATACGGTGTGTGAGCTGTCAAATTAGCCACTGAACAAAAAGAAAGATTTGAGCCACTTGGTTAGGTGAATTAATGAAACCACTGGGCAACAGACAATTGTTCTGGTAGATGGTTACTTCCATGACACAGACACCTGCTTATCTGGCTTGTCTTCTCATTAATTTGGTGGGGTTTTTTAAAACCGATTCACCTGGGGGACATATTATGAATCTGCTGCTTTATTTTGACGCCTTCCTCAATCTTGACTGGAAATAACAATGATTTCTCCTAGCTAAGAGAGGACAGAATTAATAATCAATCGGATTAATGCGGCCATGTTGGAGTTTCACCCAAGTCATGCTTGACTTGTTGCTGAATAGGTGTTAAGTTTCTAAGGTGGAGACTATTCATTGCAAGGCTGCTCAGTGAGGATGAAGTGCCATAAATACCACTTCAAGGCAAAATGTTCCACTCAAGCCAGGCAAGCTAGCATGCCAGGCATCTAAGTTACCTAAATTGTGTCTGCAAATACTCAGGGAGGGCAGCACTGCACCTGCTTTGCTTATAACTGGCAATCACACTAGCGGATGCTAATGGTTGAACATCTAGTCCTTTATTCTGTATTTTATATAGCACCTATTCCTTCAGTTCCTTTTTGGGATATAGTCTGCTCCACCCAGTTTCCATGGAGTGACTCTGCTGTACATGGGGATGAGGCTAAATGGAGGCCAGCTACAGATTCTGGGCAGATTTTGGCATATCTGTAGATGTATCTCCCTCCCGTGGTAAGGTAGTGTGTCCCCTGAGCAATGTTGGGCATGGGGGTTCCTGACAGCAAAACTCCAGTGGCCAAAACCCTGCGTGAAAAAGAGAAGGAAAGGACTATTTTTCCCAATGCAGCCATGACACTGAAGTCTTTATAGCCAGGGGAATCCAAACTCCACTTGAAATCACTATTTATCTAGAGTTTTCACAGGGATCATGAATCTGCAGTCCTGTCCTGAAATGACCTGCCCACACAATAAACCTTACTCGCATGAGTACCCTACCTAGATTAAGAACTACTGAAATGCCAATCTATAACAATGACAATCTCCCCACCAGGATGTCTTCAGGACGAGAGTTTTACAGCCAGAAGTTTTACCTTTTTGCGTGGACTTTTCTCCCTCTATGAACAAAGTCCTTTTTTCCTGCCTGTGGGTATCAAATGTCCAGAAGATGTTCACGACATAACCAGTCACCTACCAAGCAGCAAAAGCACATAGGATGCATGAGCTCTTTGTTCAGCTGTCTCTTTACACAGTACAAGATGAATGGTACACCTTACATACATAGTACACCTTCATACTGGATCTCCTATCACAAGTGGAGCAACTGGGGCAGTCTATGTCATAGATTTCATAGATGTTAGGGGCTGGAAGGGACCTCACGAGATCATCAGGTCCAGCCCCCTGCCCAAGGGGCAGGAAGTCAGCTAGGGTCAAAGAACCCAGCAAGATAAGCATCCAAGTGTTTTTGTAAAGTTTCCAAAGTAGGTGCTTGCACCACCTTTGGGGAGAGTCTGTTCCAGGCCCTGGGGACTCAGACAGTAAAGAAGTTTTTCCTTACGTCCAACCTATCTGCTCTTTTTGCTCACCATCTCCATGCCTCTCCACCCCTTAAACACCTGTACCCGTACAGGACTTGTAATAAGGAGATGTCCGGAAACCCTACTTTTGAAAAAAGTCTGAATATTTTAATGCTGAGGACAGGGAGAAGCTATCTTTTGTTAGTTCTTGCTTTGCTGGCTTGTTGTCCTTTAGGATCCGGAGATACGTATCAAGCCTCTACGGCACATATGCTGGAGATCTGGTTAGGACCTGTATGAAAACAGAACCCTGCTGTTTCCCAGTCCTTGTCAGAGAGTCTGAAGAAGTAACCAGTACCAGACTGGCAACCCTGCTTCCACATTACCTCCTAGCGTCAAGGCATTTATCAATGTGAAAACTGCAGGGCATGCACTGTGCTACCAGCACTCTCTGCATTTGCCCTGGGGTCTCTGAACCCTTTCATTACATGGTAAATACCAGGCAGAGCTAGGGTAATTAGGTATTGACTATTAAACCTGTCTTAAAAAACCCAACCCCTTGATGACTGTATTCTTACTTTCCAAATGGGTGATTTGCTTATCTCAAAATTGGGATGTTCATTTGGCTAAACAACACCGAGTGGCATACTTTATCGTGCAATACATGTCTATTATGCCAACTATTTACGATTCTGATCTAACTCTGGTTCCAGCCAGCCTTACCTTAGTTTTAGTGTCCATTTTCAGGGTGAAACTAATAGAGTCTTCACTGTAACTCTCAATATGTATGGTAGGCGGCGGAATAACTGAAGAGAATAAACAGATGTTAATTCAAGGTCAAAACTCTAAAACACAATTGTATTTCTATGGCACTAGAAAAAGCAGATTGTTATAGTTGTTATCCTGAAGGTCTTCTACCAAGGATTTCTTCCACGTAGAAAGAAATCTGCGCCGTAGACCACAATATTGACTTCAGTCTCTGAAATCACTGAGATGAGCGCTCTTTTACAGTCAATACTTTAAGGTGGGACTAATACTTTGGAATAAAAGGTGAAGAGAGGATGCTGAGTTTAGAGTGGGTCAGAGCAGAATTTATTGGAAAATCCTGCAAATTGTTTCAATTTTTTCTCCCTCTGCCTTCCAATGATTAGTTACTGGTCGCTCTTTATATTCTCAGGGTTGTTACATATTTTCAGTAGCCTGCTCTTTTTTCCCTGTTTTTCTTGCGCTGCTGAAAGCGGATTTACAGCCACAAATCAATGCCAATCACTGAAAGGGACACTGTCAGCACACTTAGGATTGACATGTAAGTTTTTTTCGGAAAAAAAAATCCCAATTGATATAGAAACTCATAATAAAAATGATTCCAAGGTTTTATTTTTAAAAAGTTCTGTTTTTTTGGGGGGTTTTTTGGTTGCATTTAAACATGACTCTGGTATCTGTAATCTAACCGTTGTGATATCAGGTGACTGCACTGGAACCTCAGTAAAGCTGATTAGATGTTTTTCGCAGTCCAGACTACATGAAATACAAAGCTAACAGAAGCCAGGGCAGTAAAAAATAAATTAGATTTTCCAAGTTCTTCCAGGCTGAAAAATGGAAGGCGATAATAGTAGCACAACAATAGGATTTGGATTTCTAAAGTTAGATTTTCAATTTGACAGTCTCTTTTTTTTTTTTAACTTGCAAGTTCTACAGCACCTGTACTGCATTTCTAAATGGCACAAGCAGAGCCAATACAACCATTAAAAATCCTAACAGAGGGGAAAAAAAAAAAAAAGAGAAATCAGATGGTTATTCATGCTTGTTTACTTCATTCGTTTTTTCTATGTTGCCCACGCTCATTCAAACTGAAACATATAAAAATGGCTTACCTTTGCCTTTTGTGGTGGTGATGGATTTGGAATCGCTCCAGTTTCCTACTCCCCGACTAGTTACCGCGGCAACCTTTTTTCAAATTAGAGGGTTAGTTAATATGAACAAATGCACATTGTCAAAATGTGATAATGAAAACAGAGTATGAGTTTTCGAGCAGAGTTATTGATAGGGTGGAACTGAAGAGAAATGGACTTGGAAGCAAAACAAAGTGGCTTAATTACTCGGTAATAAAAGGGTTGCGAACAAAGATAAAGCACAGCTACTTGGAGTTAATTAGGGTAATCTAAGGAGGTGCAGATATATCACCTGCACCTCCTTAGATTACCCTGAGGACAAGGTCTTTATAAAAAAGGCTTCTCAAGTGAAGGGGCTTCTGAATAATTCTGCCCTGATATAAAGAGCCATAATTGCCATGAAGTCCATTGCTGCAATGAATTTGGAAACTGTCTTGCATAAAGAAAGGCAAGTGCATATATTACAATGCACACCCGCTTTTCTGCCCGAAAGGGATAGCACAAACCAGCGTAAAAGTAGTATGGATTCACGAAGGCTATATCCTGACATCTGCTTTAACACTGAATCCCTACTGATATCAGTGATTGAGCTAAGCAATGTGGAAAATCGGCAGGTCAGGGCCATACCTTCCCCAGTGTTTTCTCATGCAAATCCCCGTCCCATTAATTTAGCCTTTAACATTATACCCCATCCAATGACTTCCCTCCACACATCCACCCCATTTCTTTCCCAAGTGACACAATTAGGACTAAATCTGTAGCTGACCCAGACCTCGCCCAATCACAGTGACTTCAGAATTAGGCCATTAGTGATGACTTTTAAAAAATACAAGCTTGACTCCTTCCATTCGTAATGGCAAAGGCAGCAATTGTGCTGGTCTTAGGCTCGTGCCAGGTTGAGCTGGCACGTTGTTAGTCGGGTAACTATGCAGGTCTCAGATCACCCGTTAAAGGAAACCTCTGCTCCATCTGTAAGTAAAGGCTTTTAAAAATACTCACTCTAAAGGTATACAGTGTGTTGAGCTGCAGGTCCTTGATCTCAGTATAGTTCCTACTGGCTCGAAGTGATGACCACTCGTTGGAGCCACTTCTGCTGTATTCCACCTAATCATGTGGAAAGAAGAGATCAGAGCTTCATAATGAGCAATGTAATTGGGCCATGTGCTGGACAGATATTCCTGTGATAGGGTAGTACAGGCCTTCACAACTGAGAGAAGAGTCACAACTTGAAGATGTCTGAAAAGTTAGGCTTAGGCAGCCCGTTTCTAATTGGAACCACACAACTTCCCCCAACACAGCTGGTCTAAACTGAGAGACATGGTAAAATACCTTCCTAGTATGCATCTGCACCTTGCCTACGGACAAATGCTTAGGCCACACACACGTGTCTGAAAGGTCCTCTGCTACACACACCCTGTGGATCACAGGGTAAGATCTGGCCCTTCCCAATAACCAATAATATCATCCATTAAGGGATTAAGTAAAGCAAGTGACACCTTGACACAAATTACTAAAGCAGTGGTTCTCTACCTTCCAGAGCCAAGGCTTCCCTCATCAGACTCAAGGCACCCCTTGAAAAATGCCAGCTCTTAGTTTTCACTCATTTCTTGACTATGGGAAAAGACAAGAGCAATCCTTCTGCGGCAAAGAACTCAGACAAACCCCAGCAGGTCAGGATGATTTTAACACTATCAATTTTTATTTGAAATCTCTGGGTTTATCTGGTGAATCATGTATGCGCGTTAGAGAATATTAACACTGCATGGCACCCCGAGGCACCTTTGAAAGGATCTCAAGGCACCCTGGTTGAGAATCAGCGTGCTAAAGAAATCATACAAGTTTCACCTCACCAGCCCTGGCAAGTGTAGAGGACTGCCAAGAATCCAGGAAAATTTACCATTTGGGTTTATCATGGCCTATAACAGGAGAGTGGGCCAGGTTAAAGCGACTCAGTTCTGTGAACCGTGGGTCTTTTTCTGAAAATTATTTTTATCATGTGTCTAAGGAAAGAAACAGAAACCTTTCTGTCTTGTCATCAGTCTCAGAAGCAAAGGCTTATGGCATCCCTAAATCTGAATGGGTATTTCAGTGATTGTATGGTACGGAGGTGATATCATTAACTCCCAGGGCCATGCACTGTCATGTTGCTTCTTCCTGAGAGAGGAACCCCTTCCTTTGATCTGCCTGCAGAGCTCCCACTCAACACGGGGGCCAAGGACAAGGTACTGAACAACACTCACAATGTATTCTCGTATCAGGCCATGGGCATTCGCAGGTGGAGTCCAGCGGCTGCTCACTGTGCCTTCGACCTCTTTGTTTAGGGACAGCTGAAGATTGAAAGGGGCATCGGGTACTGGCAAAGAAACAGATAGGTTAGGGATGCACAGGAGTCAGCGTGTCAGGACCATAATGGCCGAGCCATAAGCAAGACCTTGGCTATGAGTAAGTTCTCCTACTAGGGGAAATGAACAGGCCCTGGATGTGTCTTGTGTCCTAGCCATCCCTTAGAAACATTGCACCTAACAAGAGAAATTTTGACTTCAGTGCAAGTTTTCCTCCTGACTGTAAAGAAACCAACATCATTTATTTTGTCCCATCTCCCCAGCCCAGGCCTCCACCC